GTAAGCTTCAGCCCTAGCTCCAACTCAATACACCAGCAAGTAATCTGCGGATAATTCCTGAAATATTCTCTCCCTCTATAAACGGAATTCTCGGCAAAAACCGAAAAAAAAACTCAAAAATGCGACGACCTTGCCCATGTTTCTCGCTACTCGCTGTTTGGAATAAATTAAAACTAGTCGGATCCTGTTTCAAATTAGACTCCAGTCAGATCGTGAACATTCCATTCACTTGAATTTTACAATCTAATGGTACTTCAGGGCAATAGCCCAATTCTCGAAATCCGTTCACGAACATCTGGTGATCGCACGTTCAAAGCGTTTATTTGTCGAAACGAGGTACAGATGTGTTAGAACTAAGATCATCCGAAAAACTCCTCAAACATGATCCCGGTTGTACAACGGGCAATTGCTCCTAGACAGGTGTTCCTAGACAGGAAGGAAAAACTTGGGAGAAATGTTGATCGTGTAACACGAACGCCTCTTTTTTTAGCGGATTGCTCCTCAAATAGGGCGGAAGAAATCGCAACTAAATTGATGTATTCGAGTCGTTAGGAAGGTGGCTCGTCCCTCCTGGTGAGCTGTCTGCACTATTGGGATGAGAAAGAAAAATTTAGGGAACAGCATAGATTTTTTGAACTTCCTAGCGTAGACAGGTATTTTTTTTTCTTGGGACTTGGGGGTAGTAGAAGGGGAGATGACGAGATAGGTTGAGCTGGAATATAAGGTTAAGTGGGTCGGGAAATTCGAGGTGAACTACCATTTTCCCTGATGCCACGAGGAGCCCTGTTCGCAAGGCAGGGCTTAAAGAAACAGGCGGTGCTGAGCTATAATTTTCCGTCATTCCCATGACGAACCCCAGTCCCAAGCCAGGGCAGGGCTGCTAAAAACAACAGACATAATGGGGAAGGTCGTTTGGCACCATCGCTTTGCCAATGACTTGTCATAACAGGCCGCGCTTTTGTTCTTTGGATAGCATAGCTCGTCCCAGTCACCGATCTACTAGAGTTTCGTGGCTAGTGCGTACATGAAGCGGTTACAGCTGGCTTAATTCTCTCAGATATGCTAAGTTATGAGCAGTATTTTTTGACCCCAGGCGGCTTTCGAACATGCATTGAGCGAATGCGTTTTTCTTTACTCTAGTCTTAGTGAGCATTAGGCTTCAGCACTCCCTTATTTCAACCAAAGCGTTTCCTATTGAACCGCTGAGTTCAGCAATTCAGTGATCCGGACGAGTTGTTCTATCCGTATGACGCAACGCATGACGTCCCTTGCTAGGTCAGTAGCAGTGTGGTCGTGTCAAACGATACACACCGGATATACTGTAGAAAAAGTCCATGCCTTTTACCTGGTTGAGCAATCTCTTGCTTATAACGCTTTGCTCTCATTTCTCAACTTCAACGCGAGGGATGCTGTAGGGGGGGGGGTGTGAACCGTGATCCCGGAAACCATATATAGTCATGAGCCCTAAAAAAGACAGAGCATGTGACGAGGCGGCTTCGATTGGAGCGCTAGTTTTGCAAGGTTTCCTGTCCCAGTACAGTTGTTCAAACTGCCACGGCAGCCTTTTCCACCAATGAATCCTTCTGAGTCTGCAACACGCAGCAACTGGCAGTAAAAAATTTTCTAGCTGACCTCCAAACACATCCCTATAGTTTGCAGGGATCATAACTATGTACTGCTGCTGCAGAATACCAATAAATCAGGCCTATGGCTCTGAACGCTGATTAATTCAGCGCCAATCAAAATATGAAGCATGGAAGGCACGATCAAATACCAGAAGTATCCCTGAGGAGACCAGGGGTGGTTCCTTCAGCTCAGTTCGGTTTCTACCACCGGTTGAGAAAGACATAACATTACGTAAGTTCAATGAGGCAATCTTCCTATCCACTGGCTGAGGCTTCCAAGCTAGAGTCAGATGCTTCCAGTTATACATTAGCCCTGAACCAGCAGTGCCCATCAAACCTTCGCTACTTTGACAACATTAAAGTGTTCGATAATGTTTGTCAGATGTGGGAAACCAAGTCAACAAGCTCCCACTCATCCTTATCCCTCCAGCCTTGATTCTTAGGAGGAGGAGGAACTCGTTGCACTCTTGGTGTTCATTCATTACATAGTTGGCTAATAGCAGGTCATCTACACTTTATACTAATCACAAATAACAATTACATTAATAGACGAATGCGCACAATGTCCGTGTCGTCCGCGCGGGGGCGACATGCGTTCACTATCAAATTTACCATGCGCTTCATTTAATTACAAATTAGCCGCCTGTTTCACAAAAATCCATCACACCCCCGTATGTTCATATCGATGCCCCAATGCTTTCAAGTAAATGTAAAAATGACCATAGAATTACCAGAGAAAATGTATGAAAGACTTTTCGCTGGCGACATTCAATCTCATTAGATCTTGGTAGAACATACTGAATAATAGATATGTGACTGCCTCAACATACGCAACGCATTAGCGCTAACCACCAGTCCATCTTTTGTCTCATTCACTCGCCTTACTAAACCATTTCTAATCAAACTGAGTGACTTCCAACGCCCACATCATATTATTCAGCAAAAAAATCTCTGCATACTTTCTCAGCAATGACGAGGAGCGGAACGGTAGAAGTTTGCAAAGCCTTCGCTAAGACATGAAGGAAAACAGTTCGAAAGGAGATTCCTGACGGGATCGTATCCAGGGCACATCATGTCGGAGATCTCCCAATGCATGAGGTCGTATTTGGTCACTGGATCGGGAGGGGTCGCATTTCACCAGGCAATTTTTTACATTGTTTATTTCCTCACGTTTCACACACACTCGGCCCCAATACCTCCTCTAGTCGGTGGTGGTGCCGTGAATCTACATTTCCTGGTGAAGCGGGAGATTTGGGTTCGCGTTCCATTTGAGATATGATCGTTGCCCAAGATTCAGCGTTATTGTGATACTGTACCTGATGGCTGGTCGGACTCTACCCCTTCCACTAGCTGGACGAAATTGGAATGGGCTCCAACTTCAAAAATGTTCTCCGACACCAGGGCTGGTCCGACCCTACCCCTCCTCCCCTTCCCACCAGCTGGACGAACTTGGAATGGGCTCCAACTTTAAAAATGTTCTCCGACACCAGTACGTTCTCTGGCTGTACCACCAATGCTCCTGTACATCAAGGAGTTATTCGAGAGGGCGCCAAGATCGGAGCCTACCCCACCCCCCCCCCGCCACCCACCAGCTGAACGAACTTGAAGTGAGCTCGTATATTCGGAAAATGTTCCCCAACACCCGTACATGCCCTGCTTGTATCACCTATGGTCCAGCTCATCAAAGAGCTGCACCAAAGGGCGCCAGTTAGAACCTCCATTGTCGACTCGTATCCCATTTATACACACCTTCTACGTGCGCTATAATCACACTGACTACATTTCCCAGTGTCTGCTAGCAGACTTCCTTCTAGTACTCCATAAACTCCTAATCGGAATGTGGCGTCACAAGGGTATGAGATCAACACATAAAAGGAGCAAGCAAATCCGGGTTGAAGCCCCTGTGCAGAAGTAACGGCAGAAAAGAAAAGTAAGCTATGCAGGCGGTTTACTCATTGTTGTGCAAAACCTATCACGGGGGTGCTGGTGATGGGGGAGGGGTTCAATTGCCCTCGAGAGAATACCCCATTGTTCCGTTGTTCCGCTAATACACCCTTCTAATTGGCGGCCCTGTTATAACACTATTACTTACCATATATACTACACTAAAGTACTACTCCTGATAGTTTATAAGATGTGATCGGGTGCATCTATCCCCACCCGCTTCCCACGTGACGGCGAAATTTCGGGAAGATGGTAGTCAGATTGTCAAAAAAATTCCTCCGATACATTTTTTTCAGGCTATAGAAGTACTGTCGGTGCAATTTCACCTAACCCCATGACGCACCCTGTCGGCAGGGCCTAAATAAGGCAGTGATAGTTCTTCTCATGTCCCTAGAGTTCCAAGCAGGCATAGCAACAAAAGGCGCAGTTCGGCTTGGTGGGGGAAGGGGGGGGGGGGACAATTGGCCCTTCAGGTCTCACTTTGCTGAGCCTTGTAAACCCCTGTGAAGCTACGAAAGCTACGAAATGGGGCGAGTGGGTCATTTTGGTCAGGTAAACTTTCAGTTTTTCACAAGATGGTCTGTACAAGCTAGCTGAGTTCCATTCACTCTCCCCACCAAGCCGAACTGCGCCCAGCAAAAAAGCATTCACTCCACTGTTTCACCACCCACACCCCTACACGAACTTTCAAGAAGAACGTTGAAGGAGGTGTGCTAAGTGTGAGAAAAGTCGAATAAGAAATGAGGATTTTACCTTCGCCGCCAGAATACAGCGTTTAAGTTGAACTTTCTCGGCTGGCAGGAGTAAATCTTCCGGATCTGGCACTTTACCGCTGAAAAAGAGAACTGAGTAACATTCACAACTTCGGACCCCACATATTTAGCCAACATTATGTCTTTTATGCCCGACAGAGACATGATATTGGCTAAATATGTGGGGTGGGCTTAAAGGATTGCCAAGCAGTTTGATTGTCGGGCACTGAAGTTATGAAATGTGCGCTAAATGAACCATGGAAAAGTGGTATGTGGGTGCTCCCACCCCAGAGTTTTCTTCAGGGATAAAAGGGGCTCAATCACAGCTTCAGAAGCTATCTGTTATTCTTCCACGGTACTTCATCGAACAGTTGCGCGGACCAGCAGCAATTGCTGAAGCGATCTTCTTCTGACACTCATTTACCAGCAGCCATCTATGACCACCGCGACATGGCCTAGCGTCGAGATACGCTTCATTATTGGGGCGGATTGCCAAAAGGCCAATAGCGTCGGCGCTGAATGAACTGGCCTAGGAAGGTAAGATCACGGGTGTAATGATTGTGTCCATTAACGCAACGTCGCTTTACGCGCATAGCAAACAGTTGATCCAGCGAAATTGAACTCGTAAAGCATCGCCAAAGCACATATATCAACATGTCGACACCAAAAACCAAATTTCACGTGGGCCAATGCCTGGGGAATGCGGACGAGTTTTCGTGTGTCACATGCATGACCGCGCAAGGCTAGGAAGTTGTTCAAAGCAATGAAATGATCAGAACTGGAAGAAAAACTTTACAAATGGACTAGGCGCTGATAAGCTGATAGGAGGGGGGGGGGGATTTTGCACTTTCGCTAGTTTCTATTTCACCTTGGTTAGGCATGTACACTCTTCTCAGCTGTGAATCAAGCGACTGATTGCTTAGCTTTCCAGGGATTCTACAGGTCTCCACAGGAGGCGTCGGCAGTGATCGATGGAAACCAACAAAATGCCCCCACCAAGGGCAAAGAACCCCGACTATAACCTAAGTTGGCAGCCAGTGAGGCTGGCTAGGAGATCATTCGCATCGGCACCTCTTCATCCGTTTCAATTTCCCCGTTTCATCGGATATCCTTCACTGTTTCCAGAAAAAAATTAAGCCCTGCCCACCAATCGCATCGAGGTAGCTACAGGACGTTCAGATCGTCATCGGACACCCCACAACCCATCGCGCAGCCATGCATACACTTCAAACCTTGGAGAGGGGAGGGCGTAGCTGTGTACCCCATTTGACCACGACGTGGGATGATTTTTTCACGGGATATTTCCAGTTGAAACAACTTTCTTCGTGCTTTACGCTAAACAACGACGTGGCTACAGTCGTCCAAAAACAATAGTATCCAACCAAAAACGCAGCCGCCTTCACGTTAACATTGAGTATGCAGCCACACCCTCTCATCTCCTGGACATGGAGTATTTCAACCAAATGGTCCCGTGTTAGTAAGCTGCGAATAACACTTACCGAACTGACTCCTCGAACATGCGATTTGCCACATTTTCCTTGATTTTCGCTATAGTATCCTTGAGTTGCTTACATACGGCTTGTCCTCGGAAGTGAATCCACATTGAAGGAGTTAGCCGCAGCCGGGTAGATGATGAAGGCAACCACCGTCACGTCCTTACATCGTGGATCGTTAGAGATCTGAAAGTAAGTAAGCGCTGAGTGATACTGAACAATTTCATGGGGGAAAATCCAGAAGGCTTCCCATTGCAAATACTATCCCGGCTATCAATCAACATCTCATTGACCCCATTACTACATAGTACTGTGAATCACGTGTGAACATGCCGGATATGGCAGTCCGTACAAATCACTATGCTCTGCTCCAAACATGAGATCGGGGCAGGCATTGAACGACGGGCGGACATAGAGCGGACGACAATAGCCACGAAAGCCGATACTGTGCAAATAGAAGGGAGACGCGCGTAGCCATCGGCCCTCGTACCCCCCGAAAATCTCGTTATTTTTTCTCGCGGCGTATTGTAATTAGTCGCCACAACAATTGGCTCTAGGGTTTCATGGGATCAGAGGTAAGGAATGAATGCCAGCCTCTATAACAAGCTTGCCTAAAACTTCTTGGCCAACTCCAGTAAAATACAATAGATCAAAATGAGATGAAATTAATTTATCCAGATTCATGAGATCAAAACACACTTCAAATATGACGACTAACGTCAGAGAGAATCATCAAAGGCGTAATCGTCAAATTGAATCTCTAGTTGAGTGAAAAAGTTGGATAACTTGTAACTTATGCACTGAATGACCAATGAAAAAAAGGAAATCACCAGATCTGATTATGTACAACAATAACCCAAGTCATTAATGCGTATGACACCGTGATTGCACGCGCTATAATTGCTACTAGAAGGTGAAAAATCAGAAAAAGAACAAAAAAATTGCGAAAATACACACAAGTATACTGGCATTTGATGTACCCATCATCGATTCCAATACACTGATTGGAAGAGTGCACGTAATGTAAGGGGAATATGTTTAAAGAAATTGGTCCCATTGATATGTGACGACAACCGAATGACCACACACGGGGGAGACAAATGAATCTCGTATCACGATTAGAACACAGTAGAATGATAACTAGCAAAATGAAGAAGAATATTGAAGAGAAACCAGTAAAACGGATGCCGTGGTCATTACCAGATAGTAGGGTCATCATAACCATTCAACTGATGAGCTTTCCGATACTCCCGACGGTGTGGGTTCACTGGGTCTTTCGATCAGATTCGAATGTGGTAAATCGGAGAACGATAGCGCTTTTCCGACTAAGGACGGTTCCTGGCGCGGAATAAGCGTTGACGGTCGCCGCTGTAGATCTAACAAGGATGACGTCATTAGGGACGACGGTGGTACCAAACGGTCCAGATATGTCGAATCCAAACAGGTTGAACTTCTAAAAACACTCAATAATCAGAAGAACAACTAATATAAAGAAAACTGTGCATTTCGGCGATTAGGGGGGAGGGAGGATTTTGTACTTTCGCTACTCCTTAAGTTCCGATTCACAAGCCTCCACAGGGCACATCATTAGTTGGGGCTTTAGTCGAGTCATACCCCTCCTGTCGAGCCTGGGCCCTCTCCTGGAAGGCAGCTTATACGATTCCCCCCCCCCTTACTTCTCTCCTCTGCTGGAGGGGAATGAGCACAGACCACACGTGAAGCAGGAAAATTCGCGGAAAATCAACAACCTCAGAACGCAAATGCGACCCTATCCCTCTCCCAACAAAGAGCAGGTACGACCTCCCCTTGTTTCTGGCGTGTGTAAAACAAGAAAAACCAACTGTCAAAAAGAATCACCGACCAAATACGACCCCCCCCCCTCGTTGTAGACTCAGGGCGCAGCGCTGATGCCCCTGAGTCCTACTCTGGGAGACTCGTAACTCTTGTAAAACTCGGGCAAGCTTGTCGAGCCACTGTGGTACATGGTACTGTAGTATTGATACTAGCAGTTTTCAGCTGGTATCTCATTGCTTTACAAGAGTCAACAGGTACTCTTTATAGGAGTTGACAGGTGGTCTCTACAAAATGGTGAGTGCTATTTCGTGGTTTGGGTCTCTACTTGATGGCTTGACACGTTTATGGCCGTAGTAAACGTACAAAATGCCCTCTCCCTCTCGTCGGGACTGCGCGGAAAACTGTAAGAATTCCAAGAAATACCTTGACTGTATCCGCGATCGTGTTCGAAACGGTGACATCCTCAACAGCGCGTTACCAGTATCGATACTAGCAGTTTTCAGCTGGCTGCCAACATGCTGCAGATTCTTCCACAATGGTGTCAATCCACTGGCAGAACTGGGTCCGTTCTCGATGATCGTACTTGTCATTGGTACCGATCGTACGCCATTATGATAGCGACCAGATGAATTGCGTAGATTTCGATTCAAGAACGCATAGAATAACCAGTTAAATGCGCTCTGTGCATATGGCAGTGAATGCATCAAATACATGATGAAGATGCCATTTACTGGAGTAGCTGCTTCATCGGCTATGATTTCATCAAACTCTTCACTCATCGTTTCATTGTTCTCGAACGTGACACCAACATTCTTCTCGGCTTCTGTAAATATCATCTATCATTCTTGAAAGCTGATTTTACTTCACTTTATTTTCCTTCAGTTACTTTTCGCTCTCGACAGCGCCCCGTCACGGACTATCTGATAAGAGTTTGCGAAACCAGTTTCATTGTCTCAGTAAACATTCCCCCCAGGAACGGACGTCAAACAGCCAGGGAAGTATCAGAGAGGTTAACGAGGTAGTAAAAAAACGTTCCCTGCAATTGCATCTTCTAAAACCATTGCACTAAGCAAAGAGCGATTTTAGCGATAACAATCCTCAACGAGGAAACCTTACTTTCGACTTTTTACTGTTTCTCCTACTCGTACAGATCACATTAGCGGCGCAATGATGTGTGAGAAAGAATTTGCGACGTGCAAACACCAGCTATTGGAAGCTTTCATCCGCATCCGCGCATCTTCATCTCAGGTTTCAAAAGCTCGCCTCAACTATTACAAGGGCCTAGCCTTATGTGAGTGCCCGGTGGATCTCGCCAAATAGACTAGGACGGAGCATGTGAAGGGTAAAAAATGGCGCCAGTGACATTGGAAACAGCAAAATCAACATAAAGCAGTAGGAAGGGATATAACCGCCGCATGGGACAACAACGTGAGAAGGAGGAAACGCTGATTGATTTGATAAAAGAATAACAGGGCAGTTTGGCGACTCGGGGGGGGGGGGCATTTTGCACTTTTGCTACTTCCCATCGACGTGTCGACCCATCTAGAGAGCCACTTCGTGAGCTTACAAGAGTTGACAGGTTTTACCATGATGGCTTGACGAGCTTGCTCCAGCTTCACAAGAGTTCACAGGTTTCACCAGAGTGAGACTTGTAAACCGGAAGTAGTGAAGCAGCGAAGTGCAAATGCCCCCCCCGTCGCCAAACTGCGCCAAACACATTTCATATTAACTAAACACTAACCATGAGCTAAGGCTTGAATTCGCATCGTCCAGTAAGGTGTCCAACAGATGAAGTAGAACGCCACGACCATCACAGAGCATTTGACTACTCGTGAAAGTGAGATACTGGTTTTACGCCCAACAGTTGAATAGCGAGTATGACGGAATAATTTCGCCAGAATAACAATATACACAGAGAAGATCAGTACCAATGGTACTACGTAGCAGGTGAGTGTGTGGACAAGATCAAACCAGAAATTCTCGTCCAATGTACATTTTCGGTAGACCATACCGTTGAAATCCTCCATGTCAGCGATTTTTGCGTGGGCGGTGATTGGAGTGATAAACAGTAGTGAGGCCATGATACACAGCGATACGACGAATATGGCAAATTTCGTCTGGCGCATCCAAATCAACGCCGGTTTACAAACAGCTATGTAACGATCGATCGACAAAGCTGTCAGAATCATCGGGGACAGCGTCTTATTCGTGCCTTCACTGAACCATAACAATTTGCAAAGTGCTATTCCAAATATGAATTCGTTCTCTTGTAGATCAGCTACAAGCATTGGTACTGGGATCAGCGATATCAGGTCCACCACGGATAACAGTAGTAAATAGATGTAAGCTGATGATTGGGTATTTGGTTTGACAACTCGTCCTCGTTGAGTTGATGAACTGCAACAACCGAGTAATTGTGATGAGACGGTAATTAGTACCCAAATATTGCCCAATAGGCCAGTAACAGCTAGTGTTGAATAGAGAACGATTAGTACGATGATGTTCAGACCGACGTCCATGGCGTGCTGGCATCGCACTGTCAAGGAGGGCGTGGCCTAAGCTGAGCGCGCGCCCGGAAGGGTCACTTCAGGCGAATTGACACTACGTTGACGGCAACGGCAGCGGCAGCAGCGGTAACGAGGATGATATTGGAAGCAGAAGCGTCACCGGTCACACCACACTTCAAGTAGGTGAAGCTGAAAAAAATTGCATACTTCCACAAAAATTCATATATCATTACCAGTAAAACTTTCACATATGATGTAAAACCGTGAAAAAAGAACGAGTAAAAGTGGCACATGTCATCAACAAAGCACAATCAGACATGCAACGTCAGCTATAGATGTTATCAATAGCTAAATGAGCATTGTGACATTACTCACATCTCACATAATAATCGTCGAATGATGGAAAAAATTGTGCGACCAAAGGTAAACTTGTACAGGTAAACATGGCAGTCATACTACAATTCATTAACTGAACTATCAGTCTGTTGTTAATCAACTTCCGGGTACCGTAATCCATCAAAGCAATTCAAACTGTGAATTTGAACCGGGCTTCCCTTAACAACTAGGATTCAGAGTAGTAAACGGAAACGACGACGTCATTTTTGGGACACATTGCGAGTGGACGAGGTCCATAACCTTCATGAATTTATGATTACCACTTTGTAGCAAGATTAATTGTGTCCGTGTAGAGCATTACAATCAAAACACCCTAACAATACTCCATAATTACTGCATGCTGCATGCACCTTAACCAATGATTGACAGCGATATGTTCAAGCATGGTGCGGCTATTGACGTGAAAATGAAATTAGTTCGAGCCTATTCAAAAGATCACATCCGCAACTATATGTGGATAACGAGATTCCGATTTGCTGAAGTGTACGCCCTTTCATAGTAACCTAGTAGTAACCCAGAAAGAGCAGGGATATGGAAGTACAAGGGTTATTTTTGCAAGTGGGCAGCGCTTGTCAACAATGGCAACTAGCAAGAAGGAAAAATGTAGGGCTAATTTGATTACCCTGAGATCTTTTCGATAAGAGGGCTTAATCAGGGCACATCCTGCCGTTGGGGGTGGGGGAATTCCGCAAAATACGAAATCCTTTCCTCCTCTGGTACAGCCTCACAAAATTCTTCCTCTGAGCGACACTTTCCCCACCCTACCTTTCTACCAGTATTCCAAAAATTATCCATGCCCCCCCCCCTCCCCCCCCCCTCAAAAAAAAGCAACCGTCGAGGGTGGGCTTGGGCTACATAGCGCAATCAAAAGGGAAAAACCGAGAAAAGTTAGCAACCGGAAACACCGAAAGCATTTCCCTCAATGCCAAATACGAACCTCCCCCACCTCCCCTCAAAAACGACCAGCCTCGCTAGGGATCCGTAATGGACGACGTGCCTCACGCTGATAAAAGCGATTTCAACTAGGGAATAGGTACTTGCACAGAATTTTTCGTGAATTTCGTAATTTCCTTTTTTTTTCTGGATTGCTATTTGTCTGTTGTTCGAAATGGATGGAAAAGCAAAATTGAAAACAAAAAACCCTATATTTCTTTCCAGGAAAGAAATGAAAAAGCTCTTGTCCAAGGATTCGAGGACTGAGGGTCCTTCTGCAAGGGGTTCAGCCCAGAACATCGCATGGGAGGCGGACCGTATGAGTCGCAGTTACACTACTTCCCGGATCAAAGCCAAATACAACGTGTGCCTCGAAAGTGGGAATTTGGCTTTTGGCAAGACCTCGTTTTGTGCCAAAAATCGGTTATCGTCTTAACTAGACCTGTAGGCGCTCCACATAATCAGCCCTATCTTCACTCTAATCCCTCTTATAGGCCCTTAATCAGCCAATTGCCTGCTTTTTCTTATCCGCTTCGTCATTCCTCTTACCACCCCTTCCTATTTTCTTCATGCTCTGCGAGTTTTTCATGCTGGCGAAAAGCTGCTATCTTATCATTCCCTGTTGACGTGTCAGGAATCTCGCCTTCCGGTGCACAGACAAAGGGGCACTACCCCACTTTCTCCCTTATCTTTTGGGTCAAAAATTATCTCTACCATTCCTATAGTTTCCTTCCGATGAGTTCCCGCCCTCAGCGCTTTAGCACCTTGGTAAGCCTCAGTGCTCCTAGCCAGACCTCTGAAAAAGCTGAAAAATCGCACGAAATTGAATCACAGCGCGCCTTGGGGACCCCCCCCCCAACGCAGCGATGCAGTTGCCAGAAAGGGATGCATTGACCTCACTGAACTGAAATACCCTGTTCATCTATCCGACGAGGGAAGTGCAGAAAACTGAGAGTGACCAGCTGCTTTACTTGTAAGACAACAGATCCTACAGTTCTATGAACGGGGCACTCCTTTCGTGTTTTATTCCTCAACGCGAGGGAAGGTGAGGGGGAGCGAGGGGTCGTATTTAGCCACGAGGGAAGGAGGGGGTCTTGTCGCCTTAGTGAAGAAGAATTTCCAACACTCGTCCGAGTCAACGGTGTGGCAATTTTACCTCTCGAGATATTGATAAGTCTCTATTCACCCTCTGCCCCGACCGCCCTCGACGGTTCCCAGGGAGGGGAGGGATCGTAATGGGGGAAATAAGGGATAATTTCTCAGCGCTACGCCGTGCCCTTGCTGTAATCATTTACAAGGGACGTTTATCAGATGCCGGGAGAATTACTCCAAATTTCCAACTAAGCCGGAAAAAAGCCAACAGAAATGTCAGCTCTTACAAGTATACAAAAACGGAAAAGATAATAAACAAGGGCTTGGCTATATCGCATGCTTGAGGCAAAGAACAACTGCAATGAGTAGAGCTGCTTACTGCAAAAAAATTGGCTTACCACTCAACTCTCAACCCTAAATGTGATTCAACTAGTACAGCTCTATTACTAGAAGTAATAATGTTATTCAGACAATTTTGAAATTTTTGGCGGGAAAGGGCATTTAGATAGGCAGGAAGAATAAAACAACCAGGCAGCACATAATACCACGTAACTCGCGAACGTTTACTGCGATAAGCAGGCGCAACTATCAATACATCTTTTTCCATATGGAAGCCATTTAGCAATTAAATCTTACCGCCTCAAGAAGCAATAGCCGATAATACTTAGAAAATGAATAAACTCTGCATACTGTACTATAGTAGGATAAAAAATGTAATAGTAATTCATTAGAGCATAAGACAAAACAGACAGCGTTCTACTCAATCTGCCCGGAAAGCAGTCTAAAGGGTGACCCAACACCGCCGGCTCAACACCTGGACCTGAAGATAGCGCCCAGTCATTCAATCGGGACAAGTGCGTCACAAAATCAAAAGAGCGAACTTCTCTATAGGGTGACGCAAAGGATGAAGAAAAAAAAGTAATAGTGCAGAATTATTGCAAAAATTTTCTTCTCTGATTACTACCAACAACGACAGACAATTACGATAAGCAATGACGTCATGTCTGATTACGTATCGCATTGTACAAGGAACGATCACACCATACATCCACACCTCTGACATCTTTTCTTCAGGGATAAGGGCCTGAGCGAAGAGGTTCTGGTGAAAGTGGCTTTTAGTGGTGACATTCCGGTCTGGCCTAACACATGTCAACATTTACTTACCTGTCGATTCTCCAAACAATCGCTGCTTCTGACAAGTCATCACAAAAAGTGTCACCAATTTACAGTAGCTTCGGGGGGAATTATGCCATATATTCACTTGGTAAGTGAAAACGCCGTGGATGGGCCCATTGTTCCCTATTAAAACCATCCCAATCGACTGCGAGATTACATGTAACTAGCTCTCAGAAGGAGGAAGTTTTTGCGGTTAGTCAACTCCCTTCTGGGATGCGGCACGCATTCTACTTCCTTCTAGAATTAGTGGCTTATTGAATGCGATGTGGCCTATACAATGACTTGCGGGATTCCAGCCAATGTACAAGTCAGTGTTCTTATCCCCCCTCTCCAGATGAAGCTGGTACCTGGTAGTAAGTTACAGCGTACGGAAGGTACAGAGGACTTGATCAACCAGAATAGGAGCTGACCTGCCACTTAACCCCTGGGACCGAGCGCATGGTAAGCGTGCCACTTGCCAATACCGCGCTAAAATCACCGTCTAGCGACGCCAGAGCACCGAAACCTTTGTGTCCCCTTCCCTTCTAGCAGCGGCGCTCCAATTATTCTTTTCCTTTTATGACTCCCTCCCACAGCTTGATGGAGGTCGGGGAAGGGAGTTTATTAGGGAAGATCAAGTGGGCGGGGGAGGGGGTATATAGCTCATGTCATACAGGACAAACCGCGAGGTAAATAAGAGCCCCCTTCACCATCCTACCCTTCACTTTCCTGAATTTTTCCATCTCAATAAGATGGAAAAATTCAGGGAAGTCAAGGTAGGATGGTGAAGGGGGATCTTGGCACCACTTTTTTTCAGTTTTTTCCCGTTTCCCGAAAATTTTCCTACTTCTCATCCAGAACTTTGCTGTCAAGCGGGGCCCCGAAAAACCAACAACCGAGAAATCTTTCCCGAGGCCGCAAATTTCTCTCAGAAGGCAAATATGCCACACTCTCCCAAAAACGAGCAAATACGACATCCCTCCCCCCCCCCTCATTGTAGCATTCGTGAAACAAGAAAAGTCAAGTATCAAAAAAAATTTCTTAGACCGATGCCCTCCACCGAACGACCAAATACGACCCCTTCTCTGGGGGATCCCCATCGATGACGTACACATTTTTTCTACAGCATTACGGCAAGCCATGCCCGCAGTATTTCGCAAGGGAGAGTGATAATCATACACTTGGAAAAAATAAAGAAATAATCTCTCTGCTGCTCGATTTTGTAGGGGCGAGAGCTCCGAATCAAAGCAGATCATCGCATGAAATTTTGTGCAAAATACGACCCCGCCCCGATTCCCCTTCGGTGCAATCAATTTCGCTTCATACCATTTTTTTACCAGATTTGAAGGCGAAATATTATCACGGGAGACGGGCAAGAGAATCGTAATTTGCCGCTCCGCCGCGCGCGGCGATGGGCGCGGCGTTTTCTTAACTCGTGTTAACCTGTCGATTGGAGCACCGGACTTCATGTAGACCCCGTCATCGTAGACATTCATGACTATTTTCGGTTCTGAATGTTGTCGCCATCTACTACCTGGAACCATCGTCATTTGCGGGCGCGACGCCCACCAGCGCGGTGAATTACGATTCTCTTGTCACACACAAATTATTAACAGCGACCGAAGACCACCCCTTCTGG